GGCCAGGGAATTAAGAGGCACAAACTATCACGTAAAAAATAAGCTACAAGGATATATTGTACAACAGGGGGAATACAACCAATATTCTATAATAACTGCAAATGGCGTATAACCTTTAAAAATTGTGGATCACTATACTATACATATAATTGTAACATATAACAAAATAACACACAAGTAATTGTTTTTCTTAGGTATTTCATACTATCACTGCAGAATCACCAGATCTTTGAATTTTTAAAATTTTTTGCATAAAAGTGAACATTTAAGGCTAACTCTAACATTAAACAAGTTACTGTATCAGATTATTTCCTCCCTCATTCAAAATTGGACATGTGACATATTTATACTAAATCCTTGAAGTATAATAAAAGTGATAGGGAAGTGACAGGAGGAAACTGAAACCAATGCATGGTAGAGACCTGACAACTTAAGTTCCCCACGACAAAGTCCAAACCAACTTTACATTAAATGTGCTGTAAAAACCATTCCTCCTTCCTGTGGTTGTCTATGCTTAGCACTCCTTGGTCTGTTACCTAAACCAAGAAAAGTACTAAGACAAATGGCAGTCAGGATTGGGAGTACGAAGTATAAAAATGTCTCCTGACAATTGTTAACCCAGTTGACAAACTTTTCTCGAGCACTTACTATCTCATAATCTCACTTGACTCTCAGGGTGGGAGGGGCAATACAGGGCCAGGGAATTAAGAGGCACAAACTATCGCGTAAAAAATAAGCTACAAGGATATATTGTACAACAGGGGGAATACAACCAATATTCTATAATAACTGCAAATGGCGTATAACCTTTAAAAATTGTGGATCACTATACTATACATATAATTGTAACATATAACATATAATACAACTATACTTCAAAAAAATTAATTATCAAAAGAAAAAGGCTCAGAAAACATCTATATAATAAGTTCTGATAAATTACTAAGAGAAACTAAGAATGGTTACTGTTTCCCTTCAGTTTTAAAGTTTGACTTTTTTCTATTTTAAAATATTAGGAATTTATATATATTTAGTCAGTTCTACTATAATGCTCGTTTTGAAAATCTGAATTTATTCCAATTTGACTGATATATTAAAGAACAATAGGAGTGATTTTGTCTGTGAGGAACACTGAGTGAACACAAAAACTGCACCCAGCTGAACTGAGCAGCATATGAATACATAAAACATGCACACCCCTCAGATATCTAGCAACTGATCAAGACAGTGTTGTACTGGCATCAGGATATACATTAATGGAATAAGAGCTGAAAGTCCAGAAATGGAATCATGTGCTTATCATCAACTGATTTTCATTAGAGGTGCCAAGATCACTCAGAGGGATAAACGGCTTTTCAACAACTGATGCTAGGACGACTGGGAAGCCACGTGCAAAAGAATAAACTGGGAGACCCTTACTTCACACCACACACAAAAACTAACATAAAATGGATCAAAGACCCAAATTTAAGGATTAAAATTAGAAAGCTCTTAGAAGGAAACACAGGAGTAAATCTTCAACACCTTGGATTTGGCCATGGGTTCTTAGATATGACTCTAAAAGTACAAGCAACCAAAGAAAAAAATAAATGAGATTTCATCAAAATTAAAACCTTTGTGTCTCAAAGAACACTGTCATGGAAGTGAGAAAACAACAGACAGAAAGAGAGTAAATAATATTCTCAAATCATACATCTGATAAAGGACTTGTATCCAGAATACATAAAGAACTCTAACAACTTAATGATGAAAACATAAAAAACTCAATTGAAAAATGAGCAAAGGATCTAAAGAGATATTTCTTCAAGGAAAACATATAACAGCCAATAGGAGCAGGAAAAGATGCTTGACCTCACTAGTCAAAAGGGAAATACAAATAAAAGACACAAAGAGATAATACTTCACACCCATAAGGATAGCAATAATTAAAAAGTCAAATACTAACAGCTGTTGGTGAGGATGTAGGGGGATTGGCACCCTCACACACTGCTATGGACGTGTAAAATGGAACAGCCACATTGAAAAAAATCTGGCAGTTGTTCAAATGATTAAACATGGAGTTACCATATGATCCAACACCACCACTCCTCGGCATATACTCAAGTGAAATAAAAACATTTATCCATATGTGTTACTTACCTTGATCTTGCAATCATTCTGCAATGTATATCAAATCACTTTAAATATGTATAATTTTATATCATCAGTTTTTCCTCAGTAAAGTTTAAAAACATAAAATAAAAAACGGTTCCAATATTTAAAAATATATCCACACAAAAACCTGCACACAGACTCCTTCAGCAACTTATTCAGAACAGCATAAAGTGAAAACTCAGATGTCTATCAGCTGAACGGATAAACAAAACGTGGTACATATCCATCCTTATTATTCAACCACAGAAAGGAATACAGTACTAACACATGCTACAACTGGCTTCCCAGGAGGTTCAGTGGTAAAGAATCACCAGCCAAGCAAGAGACAGGGTTCGAGCCCTGTGTAGGGAAGATACCCTGGCGAAGAAAATGGCATCTCACTCCAGAATTCTAGTCTGGGATATCCCCTGGACAGAGCAGCCTGGCACGCTAGAGGCCATGGCGTAGCAAAAGAGTCAGACATGACTTAACAACATGCTACACAACATGGATAAACCTCAAAAACATCATGATAAATGAAAAAGCCAATCACAAAATATCACATATTATATGATTCCATTGTTATGAAATGTCCCAAACAGGCAAATCCACAGACAGTAAATAGATTAGTGGTTGCTTAGGGCTTGTTCACTTGCCAAGTGTCTGTGACCCATGCTGTATCCCACCAGGCTCCTCTGTCCATGGAATTTCCCAGGCAAGAATACTGGAGCGGGTTGCCATTTCCTTCTCCAGGGTGCTTACAGCTAGGGGAGAGGAATAGGGAGTTATAGCCAAAGGATACAGTTTCTTTTTTAGGTGATGAAAATATTCAAAACTGACATATCTGTTGCACATATCTGTGAATACATTAAAAATCACTGAATTGGACACTATATAGGTGACAGATATGGTGTCTGAATTATATCTCCATACTGTTTTAAAAAACCCATCTCCCAGCCGTCTCAGCTCCCCTCACATATCTGAGCCACACCTTCCACCATCTGCCCTAACTTTTCAACAACTCTCCTTACAAAAGGCAACCCCTCCCACATCTACTTCCAAAAGCAAATTTCAGGTTTAGCCCAAGGAAAAGTGACAAACTGATTACAGTATTTATGTATTTCTTAGCTATTTAACATGTCTTAAACTGCCCTATCATTTTTATTAAGTTCCTACTTTTTTAATGAATCCACCTGCCGAGGCAAGAGACGGGGTTCAATCCCAGGATTGGGAAGATCCCCTGGAAGAGGATATGGCAACCCACTCCAGTATTCTTGCCTGGAGAATCGCATGGACAGAGGAGCCTGGTGGGCTACAGCCCACGGTGTTGCAAAGAGTCAGACATAACTGAGCAGCCATGCACACGCTCTTCTGAGTACTGAATATGTTTTATGATGTGTTACTGACGAAGTTTCTGAGTGTTGCACCTCAATTCCACTTTCTTCACAAGCTCTGTGTTTCTTCCTGCTTAGTTTTGTATAAGGAAAGGATTTTTAGATATGCATATGCCATCATATAGCAGAACTGACTGTATAATCAGATGACAATATCACCCTAAATGCACCATCAGTGCTTTCATCAGAAACCGAAATCAAAGCTGGATAAATTAGCAATCCAAACCAATAAGATTTCTATTGATTTTCACTGTTTAAAATTTTCAAACTAAAATGCTACAAGAAATCAATGCTATTTGGAATACTATGGTAATGACGTGGGAAAAGGTATTCAATGATGATACAATTTTGTTTTCTAGAGACTTTATGAACACTAGAAGATGGTTCTGAAGGTGAACAAACAGCATGCATTTCAAAAGGAAAAAAGTCAGTAATGTACGGAGTCTAGCTACATGGGAAGTATTTGCTCTACTTGGGCTGTTCTCTTCCAAATCACACAAAAATACCACATTCATTTCAGTTTCTATGATTTCACTCATTCCTCTAGCATGCAGTGTCTCCCTTTTCCCCTTAGTCTCACCAAATCTCTTACTCCTGATCCAAGTCTTTCGTAGATTATCGCCATTCCAGCTCACTCTTAAGGGATCTCCCCCACTACCAAGTTCCTAAAACTTTGCTGTTTACACAAATTTAGTCTTATGTTTTTGCTCGTCTCATCCCTGCCCCTCGAATATCCAAGCCTCTCAGGGAGAGAATCAGGTGATTCAGACTCCACAAACTCTGTTTGTACAAACTCTAAACAGAGTTAAAGGTTCAAGAAGTTTTTGCTGCTGGATGATAAATAGGGAAAAATCATGGGTACCAAATAACTTTTAGTTTTCTTAGTTATGACTCAACCATTTCTGATACAAGTAATTTCAACACTTTTTAAGAAGCTAAAATTTTAACTTAGTGATGCTGAAAATACATACAGCTACTAAGGGAATAAAATCCTGTAAAACCTGCACTTGGATGTCTCACCACAAGTTAACACTAAACATTTTTCGCTAATGAACACCAATTCTACATTATAAGATGTATGGAAGCAATTTTATCTGCAGCAATTTTATCACAGTGACAAAGTATCCCCGGGGAGTGTTTTCAAAGTTTTTTTTCGGTAGCAGTTTTCTTTTTCACACAAAAGACTAAGTGAAATTCTACCATACAGGGGGGAAAAAAAAGCAGAGCTGATCATGCTAAAGTGGAGGGAGAGGCCTATAGTTCTGCCTGCTTGGGTCCCCTTCAAGGGCACACAATCCTTCCCTGGTCCCGGTCCCCAGCTGCAGTGCGCCCAGAAGGCATCTCTGAGAACCATCCAGGGCTGAGAAACAGTTGCCCTGAATAGAAAAGTACCTTGTTAGTTTTTTAATGCTAACTAGCTAGTTTTTTTTTTTAATACTTCAAACATCTCTAGAACATAAAATTAAAACTTACCCATTTCTACTGAAAATTCTTAGCCAGGCTTTGAAGTTTGGTCCTAACAAACATAAACAAGGTACAGTAGTAAAAGTGGACAAAATAACTGCAAGTGAAAATGTTTCCAGTACCAACCTAGAAAAAAGAAAACCTTCATTAACTTTTTAAGAAGTGTTAAACATGCATGTACACATTTTGTGTCATTTTTATTTAAACAGATTTAATAATATAAACCTACTGTCCTACCAAAATGATGACTATAAAAAATGTTACTAATGAAATGCAAACTATAAAAAAACAATCTAGCAGATATCTGGCTCTAACTATAGAGTTCAGAAGTGTTAAATGCCCTGTGACACTGACACTGTCCATTGGAAGAAAACCCACTTCTACATCATTAACTTTTTCCTCAATAGTCTCTGGAACTTTCTATGCAACCAGTGGTTCGATTTAGCTTATACTGGAACCATGTGAAGAACTAGTAAACTAATTTCTGACTAAGGCCTGAGAATTTGCATTTTGATAAAATGCTGATGCTGTTGGTTTTAGAACCACACTTGGGAGAACCACTGCTCCAGACATCCACTCTACTCTAAACGGATTAGATAGAACACTAGCATTTCCTGTTTCAAAGGTCTTGTCCCTGCTCTACAAAATAATTGCCTATTAACTTATTGTGTGCACATATAACCAGATACACACACACAAATATATATACACACAGCTCTGTGTATGTATATTACATCACTCATTTCGCCATGATCATTTATCACTGCTCAGCTGAACTTTCTTCAACTACTGTGCACATAAGACATATTCATGAATCTGCCTTTCACTTATTTAAAATTTTCCAGCTTAGAAAAGGTACTCAGTCAAATTTTGCCTTTCAACTATAAACATTAGCTTATTATGTTATTAAATACAGCAATCTGCTGCTGCTGCTGCTAAGTCGCTTCAGTTGTGTCTGACTCTGTGCGACCCCATACATGGCAGCCCACCAGGCTTCCCCATCCCTGGGATTCTCCAGTGAAGAACACTGGAGTGGGTTGCCATTTCCTTCTCCAATGCATGAAAGTGAAAGTGAAAGTGAAGTCGTGTCTAACTCTTAGCAACCCCATGGACTGCAGCCCACCAGGCTCCCCGTCCATGGGATTTTCCAGTCAAGAGTACTGGAGCGGGGTGCCACTGCCTTCTCCAACACAGCAATCTACTGACTTTTAAGAAAAGAAACTTTTCGAGCAATTTAGAATCACATTTACTAGGAACTGATATACTGTTTGTAACTAATTTATATGTATCATTATAATCAGTTTCCTTAGAAGTTCTAAGGAATTATGATTACCAGTATCATACACTTACTGCTATAGGACAATTTCTGATATACCTCTCCCCTCAGGCAACTGGGTAACAGAAGGCTAGGTAATAGGAACATTTAGTGAATTAAGTTATTTCACTGTCTTTAAAAGAAAAAATAACACTGGCAAGGAAGGGCAATGATGTCAGTATCCTTCCGTGATCCATTAACTGAACACGCCATTTTTTTTCTCTAGTCACCAACAGAATCAGCATTTGGTTTTACCAATGACTGTTTTAAAATATAATTGGCTTAAGGTACACATTTCAGACTTACTCTATTAGTGGTGCGCCATACAGAACAAAAATTACATGAAAGAAGAAACAAGACGTAAGAAAGTAGATACAGCATTTCAAAAATCTGGTTACCTAAAAAAAGAAATGAACAATTTAAAGAATCAAGAGAGTGCCTGAAGGACAGCAGATACTTTGAATTTTATCTACAAATACAACTTGGTCCCACATTGAGTGGTACAGGGGACTATTCTTTGGATTTGCTCCTGAAGTCAGATCACATATGCTTTACACAACACTTTTAAAAAGCCTAAAAGACAAGAATCGACCCCCATATTCCACACACCTAACCAACAGCAGAGTCAGAATACATTTTTGTTCCTCTGCTATGTACTGAATTATGCTGTTAAGCAGTATTTATGAAATATCTACCAATAAGAGTGCTAGGATACACACACAAAAAATACAGTTCTTATTGTGTGATAATGTTACACATGAAATATTTACAGAAAATAACTATGATAAATCTTTTTCATTTTAAAACAAAATTCCTAGAAAAACTGGACAAGAAATTATAATATTAAGTAATTCCCCAAATCATAATTACGTTACTATAAAAAAGACCTGCATGTTTGAAAATCAGTGTGTGGGACCTACTTGACTTCAAGAAGATCTAACGGTAAAACACACATTGAGCTTCTTATATCAAAGGGCAGTAAACATGTTTTAAATTACCTAACAGCATATGTATAGTACTGAATAATGTTCAGTGAGGACTTCTCAAATAATAGTCATGTTACACTGTAGTAAATACTCCAGAAAATAGATTTCAATATCTGAAACTTCCACTACCATTTAGTCAAGGAAGGCCATGTTTGAGACAAGAGCTACCAAGGTGGTTTATTTTATAATGTCTAAAAACCCCAGTGTGTCTTTCAGAAATGCAAAAGACGCATGAAAATAAACTGAAATGTCTTATAAGGTTTAAAGGTGCAATTGCTACATGTTTTAATCTTCATCATGTTTTATGATGACGTAAAACATGACTATATAGGTTCACAATGCTATGATATCCAATGAACTCATGGCAAGAATCTATCAAACATTATGGACAATCTTTCAGCAAGCAATACATTACTGATTTGGGGGGGAAATATCAGCTTCTTTATTCACTGTAAATAGCCTAATAAGTGCTTGACTAATACTTTATCCTTCCAGTAAAAGAAAAATTACCTACATCTAAAAATCATTTATCAAGAAATAAGCCTTACCTTGTATGATAATGAACTTCTTTTAGAAGACACATTTGGTTTCACTACTAAATACAATACTAAATTGATGGCAGTTACAGAAACAGAACAGATGCATAACCATGTCAAGTGTGTCTCCAATATTGAGAAGTTCTCCAAGAAGAATGATGGAATGAAGATGCTTAGGATAATTGAAAATATGCATAAAAGATGGGTATACAGTAGTTTCTTGATGTCAGTATCTTTCATGGTGTTTTCTTGAGTGGCTATCTAATGAAAAACAAATTAAGAAAAGAGCATAGACAATAATGACTTTTTGCATTGTCCTAAATGCTTCGACGTCTAAAAATAAGCCATGAACCAAAGTCAGTTTTCTATGGGCGAAATTGTCTAAGTGCTAGAATACAGGGAGACGCATATGTGGAAATATACATGTAGACTAATATGATACAAACTGTTCTCACAGCCTAAAAAAGGACACACTAACTAATTTCTTAAATATTTGTGTTTAGTTTCTGCAACATGGTCATGTGCTAGGACTATTTAAGCAATCCATTGTATTTTTCCTTTCCTTTTTTTCTTTGCCAAAATCAGAGGCGAAAACAAAGGGCATAAGGTTAATTACTTGCCCTTCTGGAATTATAAGCTATGCATTCTAGGAACCCCATAATACACTTTGGCTGGACTGTTGGCAATTTTTGTCATCATGGACCTTTGTCTAACATCACAGTAGTTCATATTTTCTAGCAAGTGCCAAGTAACACCAGGTACACATTGGAATACTCAAATGGTGGCCAGTGTTATCAACAGCCTTCTAAGAACATTATGCTAAACCAAGGAACCCCAGTGCTACAAAAAGACCAAAATGGCAATGTCCGTTACAGATGCCAGATTCCAAGCAAAAGCAGGGTATGAATGAAAGGAAGAAAAATATTTACTTTCTTTCTATAAAACACATATTTGATGTATGTACATATTTACAAATTATCTAACAGAGAGCTTATACATGGTATGGACTGATGTTAAGTAAGGAGTTTATTAAAGTAATAGTCCACAGGTTACACTGAGCTGAACAGTCCAGAAAAAATTATATATACATACATATAGATATGGACAATGTGCAGAATGTGGACATTCACGCAGTCGAGTCAGATTCTTTGCGACCCCACAGTGTAGCCTGCCAGGCTTCTCTGTCCAAGGGACTGTTCCAGCCAAAATCGAACTCAGGTCTCCTGAGTTTCCTGCTTTGCAGGCAGATTATTTACCACTGTGGAGAAGGAAATGGCAACCCACTCCAGTATTCTTGCCCAGAATATCCCATGGAGAGAGGAGCCTGGCAGGCTATAGCCCACAGGGTCACAGAGAGTGGAACAGGACTGAGTGACTGAGCACGCTACCGGCCACTGAGACACCAGGGAAGCCTATATATATATATGTATATATTTTATAAACACACACACACATACAGGGCGCCCACGGGGCAAAAGGGCGAATCCACACCTTATCCCAACATTCGAATTCACACTACACTTTTCAAACGCAAACGTTAATACTTTACTGATAAGGAAACAGGCTAAAACAGATTAAGAAATACTCCAAGGTCTCAAGCTCTCAAGTGCTAAAGCCATTTCAAAACCTAGCCTCGCTGATATATACGCACCAAGGGGTCAAGAAGGGAATGAATGGCAAGAAAGGAAATGTTTCTCACAGGTGCTACGCTCAGCTGAGGGGCGGGGAGGGAAATCTAGAATATATTCTCTCAATAGACAACCCTTCAGATATTTTTCTGGGCCACCCTCAGAATCCCAACTGACCGAGCAGATCTGGACCTTAGACAGTGAGCGGCACCCAAACTCAGATGGCTTGCGGAATGAGTGAATGAACAAAGAGTTGGTTCAGTGCTGCCCTTCTGAGAAACCAGCCCTCTGTCAGGCCCTGGCTTAGCCGAGGACGACTCTGGTCAGGTGCCCTCTCAGGTGGCCAGGAACCCGGTATCCGCAGTCGCACCTGACCCAGGCCCTCAAGCCTTACAGAGGTAGAGAAGGCCCTTCTGAGCGACTCCTAGAGGAGCCTTGGCGGGACATTAACCTGCAGCTTCATCCCAAATTGCATCGCTCCGGACTCTGCCTAAACCTGTCTCAGCCGACCGGAGTGTGGGCAGCGAGGGACGAGCTGAGAAGCATAATCAAAGAACACAGACGTGGAGACCAAGAGAAACGGAGGTACAGACACAGAAAGACGTATCCGAAAGAGGTCAGTCCATCAGGGCAGCCCCTGGGTAACGCCGGAAGGGCGGCGCTCGAGGGGCAGGCAGGCGCCAATTGGCCGGGGACAGAGATTTCCGGCCAGTTGGCGAAAGTGGCCTCCAGCCTCGGGAGGCTCGCATGCAGGGGGCGTTCGGCTGGGCTTACCTATCTCTCCCACCCGCGGAACGGAAGGGAGGGTTACTACCTCCCACCATCAGGTGCCACTCACTGCTCTGAGCCTCGCGCAGGCGCAGCCTGTGGGGCGGAGACCCAAGGCCTCACAGCCAATCGCAGAAGTGGAGGGGCGGACCAAGAAGGCAGCCCCGCCTTCTCTCTCGCGTTTATTCCTCCCGCTCCTTTCCAGGTGCAGGATAGGCGGGGCGAAGGGCGGTGGGGCCGGAAGTGAGTTTTAGTAACCCGGAAGAGGAGTTCTTTCCTGGCTATAGTGTTGATATCTTCCAGCTGCTGCTTGTCCTGCGGCTGAGGGTATCGTCGCGAAAGGATGGTGTGCGAAAAATGTGAGTTAAGGAGACTTCTCCGGGAGAAAGAGGCTAGGAGACCCTAATTCGAACTCCCCGGGGACTTTGCCCTTTTTTGTTTTTCCTTCGGCCACAGGCCTCTGACTAAGTCTCTGTCCTTCTGTCTTACTATTTGACCATTCCGGCCCCTCCCCAATGACCGTATAGTCCTGTATCTGTTGGATTCGGGGTGGTCCCAGTTTTGCTCCGTTTTGCCTATTTCGGTTGCTTCCCCTCGACCCCGTCTATCATCCTGTGCTGCTTCTTGACAGGCTCCCTCGCTTCACAGACCCTCAGGGTTGGAATGGATCTTAAATATCACTTCCACAACATCTGGAGTTGCTGGATTTAGCAAATAAAAGTACCGGACGCCCAGTTAAATTTGAATTTCAGGTAAACAACGAATAATTTTTAGTGTGAATATGTCCTATGCTGTATTTGAGACTTGGCCCTGTTTGCTGCTCCTACTACTATTAAGTGCTTTGTCCCAAAGCACACACTTTTACGATATTTTTTACTGAAAATGTATTCTTTGTTTATCTGAAATTTAAATCTCACTAGGTGTCCTGTACTTTATCTAACAAGCCTAAATCAGGATCCCACCCACTGGCTTAAGTGCTGTTTGCATGAATGCCTAGAGTACTGAGGCACGGGGCTAGAAGAATCTTACCATCTTCAAAGAAGTCTCTGTAGTTTTCTCTGGCTTTTAGAGAAGTCTTTCCTCCTCATGGACTTCCCTGATGGCTCAGAATCTATAGAATTTTCCTGCAGTGCAGGTAGACCCGGGTTCCATCCCAGGTCCGGAAGATCACCTGGAGAAGGGAATGGCAACCCACTCCTGTATTCTTGCCTGGAGAATTCCATGGACAGAGCAGCCTTGCAGGTTACAGTCACTGAGGTCGCAAAGAGTCAGACAGGACTGAGTGACTAACACTTTCTTCCTTATAGTTGCCATTCAGTGACTCTAATGCCAACCCTTGAGAGTTCTAGAAAATATGATTTTTTGACTTCACATATTGTTTATAGGTTTAAAAAGAGCTGTCATATCCTCAAATATCTTTTTCCTACCGTTAGGTATGTCTGACTCTTCTGTAAAGATTCAAGTCCTCATATCCTGATAATTAACATGATCTGTTTTGTTTATATCCCCATAGTATGTAAAACTTAGAACCCAGATGCCCGTGAGTTTGAATCAGAGTTTTTATATTAGGTGAAAGAATGACCATGGAATGGTTTCTTTATTAAATTTTCAGAGTACAGAAAATAATTTGGTGTTTTTATATTTGGAGCCTGGCATTAGGGAGGACCCTCCACAATAAAGCCTTAGCTTATGTTTTAAACTTCATTTCCACTAACCTTTATATTCTTCACTTCAGCCAAACCAAACTGTTTTGTATGCCTGTATGTACATACCCTGAGTTTTCCATGCCTTTTCCCAGGATGTGTCCTTTATCCACGTTACCTTCATCCTCTTTTCTGCTCTCTCTTACCAGTCCCATTGCCACTAACCCTCTCTATTGCCTTCCCCACAAAGGTTTCCTGGATTTCCCTGATCAAGATTATTTTTTTCTTCCATGAGATTTCTCCTAGCACTACAGTTCTGAATTGTTATACTGTTTATTTTCCAGCTTATATCTTAGTTGAATAGTTCTTAACTTTTGGGGGTGGTTCTCTGAGCCCTTTGAGAATGTGATGAAAGCTATGGACTTAATATAGTCTACTTAAAAATGAATATACAAAAAGTTTGTGTATGGTTTTGTCTTATTCATATATCGTCTGTGGCCTACCTGTGAGACTCAGACTAAGGACTACTGTTAGGAAAATCAATGTGCTATAAACTCCTTGAAATCTAGACCTTTATCTAATTCATTTTACTTTTCTCTATACTTTATACAATGGCTTATACATCAGAGATGCTTAGTAAATGTTTATAGAATGAATAGATTTATCAGATTTGTTAATACATGTACAGAGGAAGCCTATTATAAGCCATCCTGTTATCCACAAATTTTACTTGAGAGTCAGTTATCCATTACCCACAGTTAACATCTTAAGTCTCAGTTCAGTGGCCCTAAGCCCAACATTAACAGGCTTGTACATTGTGAGTGGTGATACCATTGTGAACTTTAGGCACAATGTAGTGTATTTATTAGATAATAAACACTAATCCCCCTTGTTTTTACTGTCTTTTTATAACAGGTGAAAAGAAACTTGGTACTGTTATCACTCCAGATACATGGAAAGATGGTGCAAGGAATACCACAGGTATTTTTCCTTTTAGAACATAGATATTGAATGAGATACTTCCTGTGAATAATGTTTTCATTTTCACATTATTTGTAAAATGAAATCTTGTTATACGTACAGCATACTTCATTTATTAAACATTAAAGAATACTAGATCTCCCAACTGTTTAATATATTCTTCTATTTCGTTCTTTCAGTGACATGTCAGGGTTCCTGATTTGGTAGAAAGGAAATAGCAGAAAAATGAATTTTAAGCAACGAGTGCATCATAGTGTTAATAATTGATTTGATTAAGCTTAATTAGGGTTAGTATTGAAAGCCCCTTTTCCTCACCTGATTTTTATATTCTTGAACAAATTATTTAAATGTTTTCACCATCATAATCATTAATTACAGTGAGGATTTTTTTCAGAGGAAACAAAAAAATATTTTCACTATTCAGTGTCACTGGCACTAAAGTAGTGGTGTCTGGACTTTACATTAGATAGAGTAAATATAGACCCATTCCCAAAGTCCTACATTGAGTCTGAGGAATAAGATGATTGCTTTTTTTCCACCACCACACCCTGTCCCCCACCCCGAACCATGCTGTGAAGTTTGTGGGATCACAGTTCCCTGATTAGGGATCAAATCCACCCCCTTGGCAGAGTCTTAACCGTGGACTGCCAGGGAGTTCCTATAATGATTGCCTTTTATCCAAATTTTATTCTCCTAGTAAAAAATTGTTTTATTTTTAAATAGTGTCTTTAAAACCTGGCTTTTAAATGAAGATTTTTGAAAATGTTGATATAGGCTAGTCTACCTGGAATGTTAGGTCCATGAGTTAAGGCAAACTGGAAGTGGTCAAACAGGAGATGGCAAGAGTGAACATCTACATTTTATGAATCAGTGAACTAAAATGGACTGGAATGGGTGAATTTAAGTCAGATGACCATCATATCTACTACTGTGGGAAAGAATCCCTTACAAGAAATGGAATAGCCATCATAGTCAACAAAAGAGTCCAAAATGCAGTACTTAGATGCAATCTCAAAAACAACAGAATGATCTTTGTTCATTTCCAAGGCAAACCGTTCAGTATCACAGTAATCCAGGTCCATGCCACAACCAGTAATTCTGAAGAAACTGAAGCTGAACAGTTCTATGAAAGACCTACAAGAACTTCTGGAACTAANAAAGGAAATCAGTCCTGAATATTCAGTGGAAGGACTGATGCTGAAGCTGAAACTTCATTACTTTGGCCACCTGATGCGAAGCACTGACTCATTGGAAAAGACCCTGCTGCTGGGAAAGATTGAAGGCAGGAGGAGAAGGGGACAACAGAGGGTGAGATGGTTGGATGGCATCACCAACTCAATGTACATGAGTTTCAGTAGGCTCTGGGAGTTTGTGATAGACAAGGAAGCCTGGCATGCTGCAGTCCATGGGGTCACAAAGAGCTGGACACGACTGAGCAACTGAACTGAACTGATTGGTTAGAAATCAAAAGATGAACTTTCTAGTTGTTAAATGTTGCATGGCTATGTTATTATGTGAAATGTGTAGAAATAACCCACCTAGTGTGTGTATATTTCAATGCAGAAAGTGGTGGAAGAAAGCTGAACGAAAATAAGGCTTTGACCTCAAAAAAAGCAAGGTAGGTAAAAGAGCATCTGTAAAGCAGTCATAAATTTCCACTCTTTAATATTAAGTGTATTGGAACGAACTTGTTTTGCCTCATTCTGTTATAATAAAGCATAGACTTAGGTACTTCCCAGGGTGTATAACCAAGCTATCTGTTACATCCTATTGGTTTTACCCTGTTCTTTTCACTATATCAATATATGAAGATATGTATTATTTTTATAATTTGACCAGAAAATAGTACTTATATTTTCTAGTTCTTAGTTTTTCTATGAATCACAGGCAGCAGACAAGTATGGACAGATCATGAGCTCTAAAGTCAGACATAAATTTGAATCTAGACTTGTTACTGTCTAGTTCTATAACCTTAAGCAAGTCAAAACAGTTCCTTAACTTTCCTGAACATTGCTTTTTTACCGAGGAATGGGGGTAAAAATGTCTCCTACCATAAAAACAATTTTTGACACCATGCTCTACTATATTCAGTTTTAAAAGCTCCATAAATTCTTCTAGCTGCCATCCATTTTCTTGCTTCCTTTTATAGCAGAAGTTTTCAAAAGCCGTATCTAGAGTACTTTCTCAGTGTCATTAAGTTATATTCAGCCTTCAGCCACTGTAGTCAGGCCTCTGTCTCTACCACACTCATAAACCTACTCTTGTCAAGATCACACATGACCTTTGAAACTGTTGGCTACTTCTCAGTTCTTACCTTTCTTAACCTTTCAAAAGTGTGCTGTCTCTCCCTCTTTTTTTTTTTGCAACCATTTATTCTCTTGGCTTTGAGATACCACATTCTCCTTTCCTCTTAACTCACTAACTGTTCCTTCTCAGTCCGGTGCTTCTAGACTCAATCCTAGACTTTTTTTTTTCCCATTTACAAATTTGCTATCTCTCCTCAAGTGACTTTGGTCCAACACCTTTAAATTCAAACTGTATATTAATGACTTCCACATGTATATCTCATCCTGACTTTTCTGAACTCCAGACATATATCCAGTTGCCTCCTTGACTTTTCTAATTTGATGTTTGACAGGCATCCTCTTTTTCCTTCAGTTTAATCATAGTCTTCTCATCAAGGCTCTGGGGTTCAATCTACTTGTACAAACCAAAATTCCTCGCTGATTTCTTCATTTCATTCACTTCCCAAAGTCATTAGTGAGTTCTGTGGCTCTACTACCAAAAACTAACCTGAATCTACCTTCTTCTGTTCATCTCACTGCTATTACCCTCTTCTAAACCATCATTATTATTTCTTACTGAATACTGTAATAACTTCTGTCTCCCTGTTTCCTCTCTGATTCCCTATACTTCATTCTCATAATAATCAGAGTGGTTCCTTAAAAGATATGTAACTCCTTTGCTCAAAACTGTCCGTTGAGTTTCTTTTTACATTGAATAAAATCCAGGCCCTGTGCCATGTTCTCACAGGGTCCTTTATGGTCTGGCCCCTCCTACCTCTGTGACTTCCCCTTGAGCCAACTCTTGAATCAGATTTACCAAGCCCACTCTCATTGGAAGAGGTTTTGCTTACTGTGCCCTCTTCCTAGAACTCATCCCTAAGAGCTCACATGGCTGGCTCCTTCTGGTTACTTGAGTTGCAGCTGAAATGTCATTTTTTCAGAGACAGTCCCTAGCCAGCATCTAAACTAATGGTCTTCCTTCCTTCCTTCCTTCCCCTCCTGTCCACCACACTATCCTCTTTGAATTTTCTCTATAACAGGTATTACTATCTTAAAAGTGTGGTTGTCTCTTTACTTACTGTCTGTCTCCTCTCACAAATGTCAACTGGGTGAGGACAGAAGCTTTGTTTCATCTTTGGCTTTTAATAACAAAGCTTCTAATACATAAAGTGCCTTACACATAGAGGTGTTTATTAAATAATGAGTATAAAATAGCATAATAGACTTAAACTTCAGTACATTGTCTCATTGTGTATTGTTGACTGACATATTGATGTCTTCTAAGATCATTCAGTTATTATTGACCAAGTTGTTTCTTTTACAGAGCGTACAGTTTTAGGTCCTTCTAGTTCCTTTATGCTCCCACACTTCCTTCAGTATCATTAATAAGTAGCTATTACTTTGGGGTATTTTAAATGTCTCATTTTGGGAAGTATACATAAGATTTCTGATATATTAAAATGTACATTTTAGAAAAAAATATGGTTCTAAGAAAAAGTAATCTGTAGACTTGTAGGTCCAAACAAATTGAACTTATTATTCAAAGGAAGAATCAGGTTCACTTTTAACTTCCCTTGTGGGAAGTAAAGTGACATTCTTTTGGATTTAGAAAAATTAACTTTTGAAAAATGAGCTATCATATTGTACCCAAGAGAAGAAACCAGGTCTGGACAGTGTTGGTATTTGGTATATGAGTTCACTTACAAAAAGTTATTGCCAATTTGATGGGAAGTATTTCCTCTAAAATTATTCTGCACTGCAGTTACAGTAGGATGATATTTTCATTTAATAGAAACTTTTTTATCCAAAGAAGTTTACATCAGTTAATTGAAAATATCAGTTAAACTAGGCAATCATGAAGAGATACACATACCTTATTTTAAGTCAAAGCACATAACTGTACACATATTTCATCAATCATTTTACATTGAGACAAGACTTTTTGAATATGAGTCTACTTTATCATTTGCCTTATATAAATCATAACCAGAATATATATTTTCAGTATCTTTAAAGTAGCTCAAGAACTGACACTTTTCAAGTGCCAAGTCCTTCCATTTAGAATTTTTTCTCAATTTTTAAGTTTTCTTACCCATGACTAATGCTGTAGCAGTTTTAATGATTCACTCTTTCCTGGTCATCCTATTCACTTAGTTTTTAATAGAATCAGTTACATTTTTTGTACTCTTCATTTCATGAGTTTCCATAATATTTAATTGTATCACATGAATAGATTGACAAATACAGCTATTATAAACAGGTTTGGGATTAAGTCCAGATGACTCTATAAGCATACAGCTTACATGGAAGGAGCAGAAGTGTGCAGGTATGTTAAGAGAGTAGCCAGTTAGAAGAGTGCTATGCCTATCAATTTTGTAGAGTTTTATAGAGGGATCAGAAAGCATAGATTAATCACATTTGTTGCTTAAGTGCGGTTATTTAAGGGTATTTCTATTGTACATTTTTCTTTTTAAAAAAAAATCTCTAGATTTGATCCATATGGAAAGAATAAGTTCTCCACTTGCAGAATTTGTAAAAGTTCTGTACACCAACCGGGTTCTCATTATTGCCAGGGCTGTGCCTACAAAAAGGGCATCTGCGCTATGTGTGGAAAAAAGGTTTTGGATACCAAAAACTACAAGCAAACGTCTGTTTAGGTGTATTGAAGTTTCTGATTTTCTGTATGATCTTACTTTTTGCTTTGAATTTTCAAGGCACAACTTAGATGTTCAAGTTACAAAATAACATGTCTTAAGACAATTAAACCAGGGAAGTAGACTGGTATTCTTTCTTTTGCTGTCAAGAAGGTCAGCAGCAATGTAACTAGTTTTCTGCCATAAGCTTTATTTTCTTTACAAACATCTTATTTAACTGGAGTAAGTAACAAATCTAACAAAACTATTTTCCTAGTTCTGTATGCACTTTTTAATTTATCATTACTCATATAATTTTTATTCTTTTTCCCTCTACATTATAGATATTGCAAAAGAAGGAAGCTATTGATACATGGCTTTGAATTTGGCATTCAGACTTGTAATCCTTCCCTCATTCCCTGTTGGTTGTGTAGCTTTAGAATCAGCCGTTCCTTAATTGCAGCATCATAGGGCATTTAAATATCTGAGCCCATTGTTGTTTAATAGTTGCTTAAATAAATTATCCCAGACCCAAATTAAACAAAAGTTGTTTTTATGTTATTTTTTACTCATTTGTGAAGCCGAAGTGCTTTCATATGAGAACAGGAACTCAAGGGACAACCCACATATGTCCAAAAAAATACACTGGATTTCAGAAAAACACATATCACCTTGAATTCAAAAGCCAGAAGAACATTGCGCATCCATAATGATGTATAGTGAATGAATCACCATTATTTGGGAAAGTGCTTTGAAGCAGACACCAAACATTTTTTAACCTCCTCTTCTTTTCCCTCCCCCACTAAAAATAAATAGACAAAGCAAACATTTTTACTCTTTTTTAAAATATATATTTAATATAGACTGCTAAAAGACTGCTTTGAGGTTTCTTTTTTTTAACTATAGTGTAGTTGATTTACAGTGTTGTGTTAATTTCTGCTGTGGACAACAGAATGATTCAGTTATACGTATATATACATTGTTTGTTAAATCCTTTGCCATTATGGTATATCGCAAGATATACAGTTCCCTGTGGTATGCAGTAAGACCCTGTTGTTTATCCGTTCTGTGCATCTGCTAACCCCTAACTCCCAATCCATCTCCCCACCCCGACAGCCCCCTTGGCAGTCACAAGGCTGTTCTCTTTGTCTGTGAGTCTGTTCTGTTTCTTAGATAGGTTCGTTTGTGTCATATTTTAGATTCTGCCTTTAAGTGAAATCATATGGTATCTGTCTTTCTAACCTCACTTAGTACAGTAATTTCTAAGGCTGTCATGTTAATTGGACATTATTTCATTCTTTTTATGACTGAGTAATATTCCATTGTATGTGTCAGTCTTTTGAATTGTAGTTTTGTCTGAATATATGCCCAGGAGTTGGATTGCTGGATCATATGTTAGTTCAATTTTTAGTTCTTTGAGGAACATTCATACTGTTTTCCATAGTGACTGTACCAACTCATATTCCTACAGTGTAGGCGGGTTCCCTTTTCTCCATACCCTTTCTAGCGTTTCTTATTAGTAGACTTTTTAATGATAGCCTTTCTGACTATGGTACTTCACTGTAGTTTTGATTTGCTTTTCTCCAATAATTAGTGACGTTGAACATCTTCTCATGTGCCTGTTGGCCATCTGTGTGTCTTCTTTGGAGAAGTGTCTAGGTCTTCTGCCCATTTTTTGATTGTGTGGTTTGGGCTTTGTGTTGAATTACATGAACTGTTTGTGTGTTTTGGAAATAAAGCACTTGTCAGTCACATCATTTGTAAGTATTTTCTCCGAGTCTGTAGGTTGTTCTTTTCATTTTGTATATGATTTCCTTTGTTATACAAAAGCTTATAAGTTTGATTAGGTCCAGTTGGTTTAATTTTGCTTTTGTTTCTGTTGCTTTGGTAGACTGACCTAAGAAACATTGGTGCGGTTTGTTTCAGAGAATGTTTTGCGTGCATTCTCTTTTAGGAGTTTTATGGCATCAGCATCACGTCTTACTAAGTGTTTAAGCCATGTTGAGTTTATTTTTGTGTGTGGTGAGAGGGTGTGTTCTGACTACATTGATTCACGTGCAGCTGTCCAGCTTTCCCTACTTGCTGAAGAGATTGTCTTTTTTCCATTGTATATTTTTGCCTCCTTTGTTGAAGATTAATTGACCATAGGTGTGTGAGTTTATTTTTGGGCTGTCGGTTCACTTTCAGGTTTCAGACAAACCCCTTTCTTTTGCTGCCTTTAGAGGTACAGGACTTCTGCTTTTCAAACAAGCTTACTGTGGGAGGCCAAAAAAAGTATTCCCCATTGCCAAGTGCGGTATAAAGTGTATCACTATAAAATGGTAGACTAGATACAATGATGATACAATGGTATAGGTACCACATTTTTATGTTTTAAAATTACTGTGGAAAGTATTTAAAGTTTTAACTGTTTAATTTTATCTATAAGGTTTTTTCCCCCTAGGATACGTTCTTATTCTTACCCAGAAAGATCACAGCAATAATGAAAAATATAATAACAATAGCTCTGAGGGCAAGAAGTATCTTCTCATGCTTTAATTTGGGATTTTAAGCTAAAATCAACACAAGGGATACATAATAGGACCTGATTAAGAGAGTGACCCAGATCCATTAAAAGCTGCATTTGTCAACTTTGGGAAAGTACATCAAGTATCAACTGGGATGTGGATTTCCACAACTCGTATTTCCTATTCATGCCTGACTAGCCTTCTGCTGTAAATGATCCAATGGCCAGACTCAGGTTGTTCCGTGAAGATATTTGTCAGTGTTATACCTCGGAGTAGTGTAAGTGTTATAAACCCTCATATTGTTGAAATAACAATGTGACTGCCGTAAGGTGAATAGAAGTTATTAAAAGAGGAAGAAAGTCCCAAAATAAAACATAAGCATAAAATATTTTTAAAAGAAATTAAAAAATAGAAAATATAACATTAAGATGACAGGATTAAGATCACATCTAGCCTTTATCAAGTTAAATAACATTTTTTAAAAAATCTCAGATTGTATTTAATGTATGTATGTCAGAAACAAATACCAACAGAAAATTTCTTAAGTACTTTCACTCATTAAAATATGCAGCCATCAAAATAATAACAAGATTTATGTATTTGTGCAGAAGTTTATGTATACAAATAGAAAACATCTGAAAGCCACTGATACGGTTTTCTCTGTGGAATAGAATTAAGGGTTGAGAAAAGAGAGACTTAACCCTTTACAGCCTCATGCCAACTACCTAGTACTTTTTAGCTTCTAATCCCTTTACCTGGGGGAGCAGGAGAGTACTAATAATTTTAGTATCCTAGAAATATATATTTACATGCATAGATACAATTTATTTTTTGAGAATTTCAGGCAGAAGAAATGTGTACATTGTTCTGCACTTCAGCTTGTTAATGTTTCTATTTGCTTTACCATTTTCTGTCTCCTTACACATTTTTTTGACCACATGATGAATACATTGCAGAAACCACACCCTTTAATACTACATATGTACTTCATAAGAGCAAGCATGTGAAGTATGGTTATCAAATTCAGGAATTTAACATTAATATTTTCATCTAATCTATAGTCCTTGTTCCAGTTCCATTTGTTGTCCCATTGGTGAATTTTTTTACAGCTACGGGATCTAACCCAGGATCATATGTTAGATTATCTTCACTCTAATCTGGACCAGTTCTTCAGCCTTTCCTTGTCTTTTATAGTATTTATTTGGAGAATACAGGACAGTTAAAGTATAGATTATCCTTCAGTTCGGGTTTTTCTGATTCTGCCTCATGGTTACATTTAGATTATACAGTGTGGGCTGAAATACTGTGAATGATGTGTCCTCTCAGTGTCATATCCAGGCTCTCAAATGTCCCCTCGCCTCTTATTGGTGATGTTAATTTTATCATGTGAGTAAGATGTTGTCCAGTTTCTCCACTGTATAGTTAGTTCCTGTTTTAACTTTTGCAATTAGTAGATAATTTGAGACCCAGGTTGATTGATGTTCTATTTCTTGTCAAACCTTCCCCTCCTAGATTTAGCATCTTTTGATAATTCTTGTCTGAATAAACTTTTACTGTGATGTTTACAAAATTGTGATTTTTCTACCTACATTATTCTTTCTATATTAATTAGTTGTCATACTACTCTAAAGAAGAGGTTTCCCTTTATCTATTTATCGTAAGTGTAGAATAAATGCTTTTTTTCTGACCACTTGAATATTACTTACAAGTGATTCCTCTTTACCCCAAATAAGTGTGTATTCTCTAAGAATAAGGATATTTTCTTATGTAACTACAGCATAATTATCAAAATCAGAAAATTAGTGTTAATACAGTATCTAATATATTCCACATTTCACTGGTTGTTCCAGTAATGGTCGGGGAGAGGGGCAGGGGTGAATTGGTCCAGGATTCAATCCAGAATAACGCATTCCATTTAGTTGTCAAGTCTCTAGTCTCCTTCAGTCTGGAGCAGTTCTTCAATCTGTCTCAGAAATGTCAAGGGCATTCTTTGAGAAATTTCTTACTCTCCAGCACAAAATGTTCCAAGTTTATCTTGTTGTTTTCCCTTCACCCATCCTTGGAATCAGCCATTTTTCCAAAGATCCTTAGTTTTTTTTAGTGGACAATGGTGTTTAGAAACTAAGATCTAGACCTGCTGGCTTGTCATTGCTTATAGGGCCCTTCAACAGAAAGAACTAAGAAACATTTACTAGAAATCACCAGTTTCTCTAATACCTTCAATTCCAAACCAACCCCACAGGGTTCTTTCTTGCCTTTACCCATTTAATATTTGTATCTTCTTCCACAGCAAGAACCTGGGTCTCCAGCATCATTATTGCAGAACTCTGAATTGTTTAATACTGCTCATGTATTTTGCAATTAAAAATTGTTTCTTAAAAAAAGTTTCTTAAAAATCTAAGTAAGCCAACAGAATAATACATGTGAATGTCGTTCTTCAATATGTTAGTGCAGGAAAAAAGCTTGGGAACTTTTGTGCTTATGCTGCCTCCCAGATAAATTTGGTAAGTGAATAACTGGAACTAAATACTTGTTTCAATTCACCTAACATTTATTGAATCTATACTATGTTCTCATCCCTAATCAGACTACTTTTATTGGCTCCAAGTTTTTTGCTCATAACCATCAGCAAGACTGTGATAAACAACCTATCAATTAATATAGTATTGTAAGGTACAAAGAAAATATATTGAAAGAATAGTAACTAAAGAGAGAGACTGTTTCAAAAACAGCAATTCTAGCAGAAAAAAAGGAACTCGACTAAGGTGATACTCAGAGAATGGAAATGAAGGGACAGATTCGGATGACCTGTTAAAAGATTTGACTGCCTTGTTGACTAAATGAGGAAATGAGAAGTTGAGTTATAGTGGGTCTCCTTTATATGTTCTAATAGTAAGTTCCTCCACCAGAGGGCAGTGGTGTTCTTTCTTGGTTTTTAATTTTCCATCATGCTATAAAAGATTTGCAGTTTTAGACGTACAGATCAAATAGGTGGACTTAAGTCTCCAACAACATTGTGAAAAGATAGCCAGAGAAACTTAGTCATACAATAAAAATACTGGAAGCCATTTATTTACATGTATATATATTCATATAAGTATATAAAATTTCTGTGTACCTATCAACTGGCAGGAAATAATGATGATTCTTAGAGCCCAGAAACAAAGAAAAAGAAGTCCAAAATGTACATTAGTACCAAAGCCCATGCTTGCCTTAAAAGAATTATCTTCTAACCTGTCAGTGCCTTAAAACCTACTTAAAGCGTCATGTGCATAGACGACAAAGCCCTGGACTTGAGCAAGGTGGGAAGGTTAGATCA